CAAATGAAATTTCCGATTCTGGAGCTGCCAAAGGATCTACAAAGAGAAAGAATGTTTTGATGTCCATTAAACAAAAAGTGGAATTGCTGCAAAAAATGGATAAAAGCATGAAGAAAGTGACAGAGAGGGGATTTGTTTCTTTAATTATTCTGAAATCTGTTTATCAATTTCACGCTGCTCTGTGGGGGGGGGGGGACATAGCGGCGCGCAATGAACTGGAAGTTTATCTGTCAGCACTATCCTCATCTTCAGCGCAGATGTTTTTATTTTATTCCGCTTATATTTCCTTACTAAATGTAGTGTTTAATCTCAATGAACTTCGATATGATTTAAATCAATTTCCTCGTCATTATAAATATCACGAATAGACATCAAATAGTTTTCTGGTTGCAATTTTCTAATTTCGGCTATGTGTAAGGTATGCTTTACGCATGCGTGCGTTGAAAGATATGAATAAAATAAACAAATGAATATTAAACTTTTTTTGTAAATTTTGATACCCTTTAGATCACAATTGTTCTTTATTTCATAAATTACGATTTCATATTTTTAATTTTATAATATCTGCATACCATCTTACCACATTTAAACTGATGATCTATAATCCAGAAAAAACGATAATCCAGAATCACCGAAGTCCCGACAAGTGCGGATTAAAGACTTTTGTCTGTAAAACAAATTCAAAATTTGGACTTCCAAGTGCCCATGTTCAACTAGAAGTCGATGATATTCAAAATTTGATGGCTCTAGGTACCATTGTTTTTTCACAATATGAGAAACATTCATGCAGATTCTTCATTATTTAGTTTCTTTAAATAAAATGCATGGTGATAATATTTGGTTGCAACAGTTTGAAAAGTGAATCGACGCAAAATGCCATTTTGAAATTAACAGCCCATCTGGGCTAATGCCCTTTGGACTAAAAAATATTTTGCCATTTGCACAACCTATTGGCTGTTTGAATTAAATACGCACACATACAAATATTACATTAAAAATTTGGTTACCATTTTAGCTATCAAAATGTAAGTTATGATATTTTAATTCTAAAATTTAGTGCAAAATTTGGGCCTGTTTAAGAGAAATCAATTTCTTTATGACTGATCTTATTTCACTTAGTTTTAAGCATAAATTAGAATCAATATTTAATTTTGTTCTGTACTTATTTTTTAAATATAATGTATAAGAAAATCCTTGTTCACACATATAGGTTGTGCAAAAAGCCAATAAAAATTTAAAAGCTTTATTTGAAATGCTTCTAAATTCTTTTTTTTTTTTTTTTTTTTTTTTTTTCAGTTAAGGGAAAAGTTAACAAGTGTGTTATTTTTGAAATTTTCAGTTAGAGTTTGATCACAGGAAATTTCTATGAATTGTTCCTTTTCTTCACATGATAAACTTTTGTAAATGTTTTAACAAAATGGATTTCTAATCGAATTTTCTTTTTCATAATCCTCAGGAAAACACGTTGAAATTATTTATCAATGAAAAACAATGAGTTTTAATGTTGGATGCTAATTCTTCTTCTATTTTTAAATTATGTTCAGTTACAAAACTTTTCTGGATGTGGCAAAAAAGCTGAAAATATTATTATCCAATTCTTTGATTATTGGCTCGAGGTTATTATTATTTTTTTTTTTATCTTTGCCTTTATTTTATCTCTAACATTAAACAAATTAACATTTTATCCTTGTAATTCTAAATTTAATTTATTTAACATTCCAAAAATATCAGCTAAATATGCTAAATGCACCAACCATAATTCACAAAATAAATATTTTTGCAATTCAAATTTTGAATCACAGAGGAAAATTTGAATTTCTGATCGAAGTTCAAAAAGACAATTTAAATCTTTGCCTCTGGATAACCACCTTATTTCGGAATGTAGCAAAAGCGTTTCATGTTCTCTTCCCATCTCTTGGCATAAAATCATAAATATTTTTGAATTGAAAGCTTGACTTTTAATAAAATTAAAAATTTTTGCAGCTTGATTTAAAGTGATTTTCAGGCTTTCGGAGATTGTTTTGACTACTAAAGCTTCATGATGTATGAAATGGTGAGTAAATTTAGTTTCAGGTGTGAAGCTTGACTTTTAATAAAATTAAAAATTTTAGCAACTTGATTTAAAGTGATTTTCAGGCTTTCAGAGATTGTTTTGACTACTAAAGCTTCACGATGTAAGGAGCAGTGAGTAAATTTAGTTTCAGGTGTGACCTTTGTTTCTTTAAGATATCACTCCGAAATGTTTCCTATTAAAGCCCGAGCTGCATCACTGCATATGGCAATGCACTTATTCTAAGGAATATCATTCTCAGACACAAAATTATCAATTACTTTTTTCACCTGCAGAAAATTTCACTTGGAGTTGTTTTATCGTATTCACAAAATAAATACTCTTCAGCAATTTGTTTATCATCTTCAAAATGTATGTAAACTAATAATTGCATAAAGTTCGTTACTTTCATTCAGTTGCAATGGGTTTTATTTTTTGAATTAGGTCTCTTATAGAATTTGCGATTTTATGAATTCATTGAGTTACTGTATCATTTGATAATGGAATATTATTAAGTTCATTAGCTGCTTTTTTGTTGAATAATGTTAAAACAATATCTTTAGCAGCTGGTAATATAAGGTTTTCTTCAGTAGTGTGAGCCTGTCCACTCTTAGTAATTCTTAGGCTTACGAGGCAACTAGCTTCCAAAGCATTTTCACTTGAAGTAACAAAACCTCATTACTTGTCTACTATTTTTGAACTCCAAAAATTTCCTCTTAAAATATTCTTCAGATTTATCCTTTAAGTTGGCATGCTTAGATTCAAGATGTCTTGTAAGAAATACTGGTTTCACCACAAACAACACATTAAGGTTGAGGGTCCATTTCATCTCCACTTCAGGTAAATCCAAATGATAAATAACTTTCAGTATTTTTCTAGAAACAACTTTTCTTTTCAATATTCTTAGTGCTTGTAGATTGTCCTCGATCACCTGTGAATCGTCACTTTTCTGCTTAGTCAATCCTAGCCATTTTTCCATTTTGAAACTCTATATAAGTTTTATTATTTTTTCACAAATATTTAAATGCTCGATATATTACGAGCTCTTCAAAAACAGACGACGATATTCTCAAATCCTGTAGAAAAGTAAGGAATGCAAAGGAACAAGAAGGCAAAATACCTGCTGTTAGAGACAGCAAACTGACATAAAAAATTATTCTCATTGGAAATGGAGCAATATGAGCCCATAATGGCGAAATAAATTACTGACATGTTAATAAATTGAGGAGCTCTAAGAGAATTAATGAGATGCTATTTTCTTTTTAAAGGAACTTATTTTTATTTCCTATTAAATACTGCATCCATTTCTATCACTCCTTTTAATAAAATCTGATGTGTACACCACATGACTTCCTTGTATTGGAATATTAAATTATACGCATTTTTTCTTGCATTTCATTTAAACTTATTGGTTTGAATTAAATCTACTTCGCCGACAGCGCATAAAACACAATAGAATAAATGCATTCTTTAAAATTCACTCTAGTATTTGTTTACCATAGCGACACTCTGGCGCTAGATTCACTTAACAGTATTAATAATTATATAAAAGTTAACTTATATAATAATTGTATAACGGAAACTAAGTTAACTGTTATATAATCCAATAATTATATAACAGTTACCTTATATATTTCGTTCATATTATAACTCATAATGCACAAAATTTATATCATTTAAAGAAAAGAATTATCTAATCGTTGCCACATGTTCTATTCAAATACTATAATAAAGCTAGAATGATTAAGCAACGATAAAAGAAATTAAGCAAACAAACAAAAAAAAAGAAACAGTTTTTCACAGACGATTGAGTATTTCTCATTTAATTAATTCAGTTCTCACTTTGCGAGAAGGCAAAAATACATAAAAACTCAAAATATCTATATTAAAAATTACGAAGTAAATCTCGAACACTTATTTCCTCGAAAAAATTCCAGAAAGAATTAAAGCATGATTTAATTGGCAATAATAAATGAATGCGTTATCTTTGTTGTTGCGAAGCTAAGTTTCTGTAGACTGGCAACAAATCCACTAGTCTCCTGTTTCAAATGTAAACATCAATGGCCGCCATTATAAAAGGGCTTAGCGGCAATTAAACAACTTTAAAATTGCTGATAATTCTAAAAATATTGCACACAGATTTGCTAAAGGCATAAAATCCTTAACCGGAAGATAAAAACAACATAATTCAATCATTTTTAAAGCAAAAAATGTACAATTTACCAACATATAAGAGTAAAGAAACTGAGATTACTGAGTCGGGTAACAGAGTGGATATATATATAAATATATTTATATACGTTTGGTGCGGCCGATTGCAACCAAAATACGAGGTGCACATCTATATGTTATAGCAGTCCTGTATACAAAATTTCAACGTTCTGAGGCTACTCGTTTTTGAGTTATGCGAGATACGTTCGTGCAGACGCCACGAAAAATTCTCTTAAGAATTAATTTTAAAGCAGTTTTATAGTTTTTTTGAAGGAAAAGAGTATTTTATTCGGTCCTTACGTACAGATATTACGCAAAACATCGTTAAATTGCATTCGATAGCGGTCAAAATGGATATTTTCGTTGAAATATGCTGCCTGAAACTTTTCCCGATTACAATACTTCCTTTTTACTTTGTACAAGGAAGTAAAAATCATTTTGATTGCCCCTTGCTAAAGTCTATAAGCAGTTATTGATCTTGAACAAAACTTTGATTGTATAAATTTACAAGTCTTAGAAAAAAACTCAATCAGGATGTTGGGGTTTTAATTTTTGAATTTAATAGTTAAAAATACTTTGTTTCTTTGCGTACGACCAGTGGTACGCATACCACCAGTTGAGAACCCCTGCTTCGAAGAGAGAGCAATCGGAGAGTAAATTATTATATTCTTTTAAAGAAGTATTGTTAAGATATTGAGGATAACAAATTGCTTAATATAATCAAATTTGTATTTTATAGATTGCTGACAATGTAAGGGTGATAGCTAGTAGATGTTAGAATCTTTACGATGTCCGGCTGGGCTCAAAGGATGCATCGTGGAGCTGCTACTTTGAGCAATGTCGTTACATCCTGTGGCCACACTCCTGTACCTTATCCAACACGCATGGAGAAGTAAGGATTTTTTTATGGTTAATTTTCATAAATTATACAGGCCTTATTATTAAAATACTGTATGTTTTTATTACATTGCAATAAATTCTAATTCGTAATAAGGATATCAGATTTAAAAAAAATATATGTATTATCTTGTTGATCAACATTTTGGCTTAGTACTTTATAAATTTTGGAGGCTAGAATTTTTTAGTGGCAGTTTAAATAGTAATTCCATTTAATTTTTTTTTTTTTAATTAAATTTTTTTTTTTTTTTTTTTTTTTGAAGATTGTTTTAGAACTTTTTGCAGTACCTTTCTGATTATTCACACCCTCCTCCCCAAAAGTTGCCAACTGTTGTCAATTAAATAAATTGTCATCAAGCTAACAGCCATTTTCAAAAATCGCAGCATACTAAGAATTACTTAAAATATAACAGCCAGTGATCAAAATAAAAAACAAAAAGCATCCATAATAAAACACTTGTCCTTTTTTTTTAGCTATTCTCCCTGTGTACACAGTGATCTGTGTTAGCTTAAAAAATGTTAGATAATTTGCTTAACATGTTTGCTGAAGAGATAATTGTCCTACACAATTACTCGTAACTTCAACCTACGAGATAATTGTCCTACATAATTATCTCGTAGGTTGAAGTTTGTGTTTAGGTGCCAGCTACGGGTTAATTCATAGTATTATCATGTTCTTTGAAGGTATCTGGCTTTGGAGATTATAAAAAAACAACAATTTGGCACAGTTCAAAAGATTTATTATAAGTAATTATAAAGCAAATAACATAGGAACTGTGAAAATAATCAAGCAATTTATAACAATCTTTGTTATAATTATAAAAATAATCAGTCTTTGTTATAAGCAATTACTAACTACTAATACACTCGTTACGAGTGTACTCATAGTTGGCACTGTCATAAAACATTTTGTTGCAAAAACTGACTGCGGTATAACTCATATAATTAATAAAACAATTAAAAATTATCTAAATTCAATATCTTTCCCATAAATACATGTTTTGTACTTTTATTTTACAATTAATTAAAATTTGTTGGCAAATTGGAACCATTTTTGAAAATGTTGCTTGCCAGCGAACTGCATAAATTTGGCATTGCACACATTGTTAATTTTCCATGTAAATGGCAATCTATTCAGTTTAAAAAAAAAAAAGTCAGATAATTGCATAAATTCACAATTGGCACGCAAATTTTAATCCATGAAATTTGATCATTTTCGAAATACAACCTCATGAATACAAATAGGCGAAATGCTATATTTCTGAAGAAATGCAACCCTTTTTCCTCTCATCAGCTGGCAAACTTCTCTGTCCCATAATGATTCCTTGCAAGGGGGGAATCGCAACTGTGGTCAGTGCAACAAAAACGAACACTAATGACCATTGTTTGTCTGCTGTGTTCTGTGCATGTTCCTGAGTTGCCCCATAAATACATTTTTGTAATGCCTGGTTTTGCCTATTTTGACTACATAGCTTCATGAATCATTTTCCAGGTGTGAGTAATCAGAAAGTACCTTTTTTTTTAAAAAAATATGGAAAGGCATAAAAGGTTTCAAGATTCAAATAAAGATGAATGTAATTTAATTATATTGATTGATTATATTAAGTCTATCAACATTGTATTTTAAAATTATTTTTCAGAAATTTAGTGCATTATAAAGTCCGAGATCTGGAATCATTGGAACTTAGAATACCAAATTAAAGAAATTAGATCATTTTTACGTAATTTAGTAAGATAACATATAAAAATTATAAAATTAAAAAAAAAAAAATAATAATAATAATCTGAAAGGGTGCTACTACAGTTTAAGTGGGTGCCAAATTGATGTTACGAAATTATAGAATGAAGTATTTTCCATTCTTGGCACATAGAAGGAGGTGCGAAATCATCAATTGTCCACAGGTGCTGAGAACACTAGTTACAGCTCTGCATTGCTCTGCAGTCCATGTTTTACGACATTGGCATCACTTTCTCCTCTTACAGGCATTTTGATCACTGATGAGTGGCTTTTGAATTGCAGTTCGCCCCAAAATACCTTGCTTATGGATCTCCCTTCATATTATTTTGATGTTGACAGGGTTTATGAGTGCGACATTCAGTTCGACAGTCACTTTTGCGGCTGTAGTCCTCTTATTTTTCATCACAATTCTCTTCAATGATCATCTATCATGATCACTCAACATTCATTTTCATCCGCACTGTGATTTAGTGGATGTGGTTATTTTCAGTTTTCCTGTATGAGTTAAAAATCTTAGATACTATGCCTCTTGAAACACCAAACACTTCAGCTACCTTGGTTATGGAAGCACCCACCATACGAGCCCTAACAATTTGAACATGTTCGAACTCATTTAGCTCTGACATGACGCACTCACAACTATATAGAACAGTCTCAATGATGAATGACACTTGCAACATACTGAGGATGTTGTATAGGTGGGATTAGTAAGCAAACACATCATTGCCACCAACATCTTTTGCAAGATTTAGCATTTTAGTTCAAACATACATTTTATGAGGCATTTCCATATTTTTGTCAAAGCCCTGTACATTTTATTTTCTAAATAGTTGATTGTTTAATTTTTTTAGCATATGCTTTGTTAATACAAACTCTAATTTTATGTTTCATTTTTAGAGTTAAATTTGGGGTTATTCTTGATCAGGTGTGTAAGCATGATATACCAGGACCATTACTTGTAAGTATCATATAGTTAGTTATGTAATATTGCTTTAATTTCTAAGTGCTGAGTTTTTAATCTGTAAACAGTCGCGTAGCGAGGGGCAAGGGAGTGTATGATGCCCTGGTCTCCAAACAAGATTTTTAATCATATCACTGTGTTATTTTTTGAGGAGGAGCGGCAAAAAGGTATTTTGCCCCGGGTGCCAGTTATGCTCGCTACTCCACTGTCTGTAAAAAGACCTTCAGTTGGGAAAAATTCATAAGTTGAAAAATTATTTAAAAGGAGAATAAAAGTAATAATATTTATATACAAAATTTTTTATCTCTGTCAAATAAGTTTATCATAAAAATGTATGCTGAATAATCAGTTTAACACTGATTTTTTTTTCCTGCTTTGTAATTAATGAAGTTTTACAAAAATCTTAAAATAAATAAGGCCATTTTATTTAAAATGCATTTTTGTCAATTATTTTTTCATTTAAATAAAGCTACATTCTTCTAAATTGTAAATTTTAATTTTGATTTTTCTTATAGTTTTGTAATTTTAAATATAGATTTTATTCTAGATTGAATTAGTTTTTATAAATAATTATACATATGAAGTACAGTTTGATAAATAAATCTGAAGAAGTAGCAAACAGTTTGTATTTTTTAAAATATGGAAAGCAGATCTGACATAGAAAAGAGGAAGAAATGATATAAAGCTGTAAATTTTATTTAGTAATTGTAAAAATACTTACTGCTATATTCACCCAAAGAAGCCTGATGATTTTGTCTTTTAGTTGATCTCTTCTTATCTGAAACCGACTTGAACTTTATAAACTAAATCAACTATCTTATTCTTCTTCAGTTGCTTCACAGCCTGTCACAGGCCAAGGCCGTATCAAGAAGCTTCCTCTAACAGATCTGATTAGTCACTATGATCCACCAGCAACTGATTTTTAAAGTCTTGAGATCTGCCACCATGTATTCCCTAAATTATGACATAAGTTTTTAACTTGTTTACATAATAATAAAACTTCATATAAGAGAAGACTTTTATTAAAAAATTGGGAGTTTTTTGCCTTTTTCCTCTTGAAGAATTTTTTCTACTACCTTAAGCAGTATCAAACTGTTGACTGACGTATTTCTTCAGCTTCATTTTCTGCCAGGACTAAAATTTTCATTGTACTTATATGCTACCTTCAATTAATGTCATTTTTTTGTAAAATATTTCTTTAGCTCATTTTTATCCACATTGTCATATTAGGCCATACTGTAAACATATTTTAATTAATTCTTCTGTATAGTTTATTGAAGCAGGGTATAAGTATAGGCATTGTATGATGCTAGTATTAAAGTTTAAATGATTTGATAATTGTTAGATCCAAAAACTTATCATTTATTTCTTTTAACAGCAAGTAACGTAATTAATCACTGTTAATGGTTGTTAAGTTTGCATTACTCCCATGGAGGTAGGAAGTGAGAAGGAGATGCCTTAACTGGTTTCTCCCATACACTGATTTGAAGCACAGATGATCCCTTCATGGTGACCAAAACATTCAGTGTCTTACCATTAAGATCAATGGATTTTGACACAATCGGATGTAAATATTTTGTAATTACATCGTAAATATACATATAAATGTATATTTTCTTTTTGTACAATATTTCAGTATATGTGAAAAGAATACATTTTTAAACAACATTTCGTTCTGAATGGAATTATATGCTGTACTTTTCACAGAACAGTTTGCTTACTTAATTTAAATGAAATATTTTGAAATATTTTTGTTAATTACATTAAAAAAAAGTTTTAAGGTAATTCGATTTTATTCGGTTAAGGATTACAAAAATTAAGATCAAAGTTTATTGTATTATTATTAAATTTATGCATTATTTCTTTTCTCTTTATAGAGCTTCTTCCTGAAATCCTTTCTCAAATATGACATGATTTTTTTATCTTCCGTGACATTTTTAAATAAAAAAATCTAAGTCAATTTATAATTATTGCTCTATTCAGTCCATTTCAAATTAGAGCACCTTTTATTTTAATAGTGAAATATGTTAAATATTGAGGCTCATTTACATTTACTTAACTTTCTCAGAATATTTCTGAAAGGGAATAAAAAAGGGATTTTTTAAAATATTATTTAGAATTTGTAACTGAGTTATTTCAAAATATATAATTCTTAAGTGTAATTCTTAATAAGTTAGTTCTTCTTAATTAACAATTTATGTTCTTCTTCACAATTTATGTTTTATACTTATCAGATTTTTTACATTTAATTTCAGCAATACATATTCTAAAACTCTTCTTTATTACTTTATTAAGTATGCATCTCATAGAATTTGCTTTACAATACCTTTTAAAAGATTGCTTTCCAGTGTGAACAATGCTTGCTTAAATTGTTTTATAAACATATTTGTCAACAGGATTTCAATTTATGTTTACAATTTAGTGTTAAGGTATTTAAATAATATTTATAATCATTATACATTTAATAATTAGATTTCTTCGTAGTAACTTTCATAGGAGTTTATGAATGACTAAATCCTTAATTTCAAATAAACTTATAAATAATTTAATAAATATTTGCATATGTTGTTAAAGACAGATATATGTTTTTTACGAGCATGTGCTTAAATACCCATACATATTTCATATTTTTCATTTCCAGCATGTGCAAATCTTTAATTTCTGTGCATTCACTTTATTGAGTAAAATAACTTAATAATTTAGCATATGCCTGAAATTTTTACATAAGAAATACGTATAAATATTATTTGAATAAAAATTACATGCATTAGGTTTAATACCCATTCAAAGTTCAGTTCCCCCCCCCCTACAAAATTTCTCCATGATGGGATCTTTTCCTTTAGGCAGATAGCCCTTGCATTCCTTACTCTATTTAATAAAAACTTAACCATATTTTTATATTAACAATTGAGCATCAAGTTTCAAACTTTTGACTTAAAACATGTTTTAGGATGCATTCATTATCAAATTCAAATCTTCTAGTAAATATAGTTTGGCAGAGCACTCAATACCTCTTTTAGCGATTTTACCCAGTTTAATAATTCTCTGATAATATAATAAATAATAACTATTCATTTCACATTTAAACATTAACCTTCATTTCACATTTAAACATTGTCATCAGATCACAATCTTGATTTCCTTACTCTGCATAATGTTGCTTCATTTGGCGAGTTCGCAAATGCATCCGTCTTAATGTGTGGTTACAAATCAAGGGAAAGTTAACTTATTGGCATATCTGTATGCATATTTATTAATTTTGATGAGGATTGTAGCACTTGGTGGTAGTTTTATTAACCCAAATAAGTAAATGTAAACCCAAAGTGATTATTTTTCAGTTATATAAAAATAAAGTGATGAGTTTAAAATGAGCAACTATAAAGCCTCTCCTCTAAAAATTTTTAAAAAGTATATGTTACAATAATAAGTAGATGACAAAAAAATATATTTTATTTAAAACCTTTTGGCATCTGGAACATAAAATAAAAGTAGCGAATACTTTATCAGGGGTATTGAAAGGCATGTACAATTTTTAAGGTACCGGTAAGGTATTATTCATTCTTTAAACATAACATTTCTGCTAAAATCAATGTTTTTGTAGTTCAACAGCTTAGAATTTTATAAAACAAATTCATAATCAAAATCGCTGTTGTTAGTTATCGAAAAATAATCAAGATGTGATTTTTGTGTAAATGTCAATAAACTATACAAGTTGGTATTATCCATCACAGAATGAATGTTTCTTTTATGCAGAAGTGTCCCATTTTTCGATTTGTGTTGAACTGTTGTGTGTCAAAATACTATCAAAGCACTGTCAAGGGAGCTTCTGAATGTAAACAAAGACACCCCATCTTGAGACCATAGCTTCGGAGCAGTACTTCGCTTGTAGTGCGGAGTTGGCCTCTCCTTTCTTTTATACCTCCATGATTCCTCTCTCTATCTCCACAGTGTTCAAGAGGTGAAAGGTTCAGTGCTGTATAATCCCATGGTAGAAGCCAATACTCTGTGAAGACTATGTATGTCATCCTGATGGGCCTTTCCAAGATTTGTCTCGTATGTGTTATTGACGTGGGCAGTAACTGTGATTCTCTTCAGTGAAATGTGTCAATGTGATACACAAATCCTGACAGGGAATATAACTGCAAAGACTAGGATAGGAGTAGAAATATAGCAGAGTATCTTGGACAGCATTTATTATGAAGCCAAGTACCTTCCGATTAAATGAATTGCTAAGTAGGCTCTGTTGACATTAATTCAACAGTTTATATCAATCAAGTTAATCACCTGTTATCCATCTCACGTTTTTTCCTCACATGTCATAGGTGAACATACACTGTTCATCTGTAAGGTGTAAAGACAGCACCCATTAAAACTTGTTTCACCACTCTCATACTTTCACTTCCTTCACTATGAAGTATGCTTCTTTGGAAGACGACCATATTTTCTATTCTCAACTTAGTATTGCTCTATTAAAAATCAAACAACAATAGTATCTTCAAGTATTGTTGGCATCATTTGAACATTGATCATATTACCATACAAAGGTACCTTTTCGAAGAGACCACCCATGTATCTACTGTCAATTTTGCTTGGTACTGTCAGCTGGTTAAGTGACTCAGACCAAATTCCCATCATTCCAATCACATTATCCAAATTGTAATATGACCACATTAACAGAGTTGTAAAAATGAATTTTAGATAAATTGAAAAATACAAATTTTATCACTTGCAAGAGGAATCTCTAAAAATGAATCAAGCATAAGAACTACACGGGGAGTGAAGAAAAGATTAGGCTTAGTGTCAAAGATCCAGGTGATACATATGCAGAGATTGCTTAGGTTTTGAGAAAAATTCTGCAGTCTGAAAAGATGGGAGAAAATACTAATAGCTTGGATTAACATTCAAATAAATGAAAAGCCTCTTGTGTATGGGGTTGCTGGTTTGACGCAAAGCTTTAGATTTGCTTTTCTTTGTTTTAATAAAGATGACCAGTTGTC